CTGGTTTATGGAAGGTTCTTACCATGTTTCCAATCATGTCGTTCATCATCCCAAACATATCTATAAAGCCACCTGCCTGATAAAAAGGAAAAGAGAACACAAGAGTAGTCAGCTTGGAAAGATACATGAGGAAAGAACAACAAGCAATCTGCAAGGGACAAAAAACCTGCTGCCTAAGAAGAACTTTGATATTTTCCCCTTCTTTCAGCAGTGCAGAAAAAAATCCCCAAAATCTGGGGTTGCTGCTGTGAGAGGCCAAAAAAAAAATGAACTGTTTTGTTTCAACAATGTACCCAAGTGCAGTATACCCAGATGTGTCTGCCAAGATTATGATTCTCAGGCCTTGCAGTGCCAAAGAATGGGCTTTGCCTGGGACATGTAGATAGGGAGTAGACACGACAGCTGCCTCATATGAGGAGTTCAGTATGTGAGAATGTGCTGTCACTATCACTCCCACTTTGCCCAAAAACTGTCACAAGAGGACCCTGATAAGGACTGAATATCAAGGCCTGTGGGGAGGGGGGGTGGGGCAAGTGCCCTTACCCTGGTCTGCAAACTGCTGCAGTTAAGCCATAAAGGGGAATGGACCTGTAAGCACAAAAGCAGTGAGCTGACACCCCCCAGGTGTAAGATCGCACCCCCACCAAAGCAGACGGATCAACAGGATGCTGCTGGATCCGTGGTGGTGACTATACTTTCCTTTTTGTAATATTGTTTGCATATTTCCTTCTTCCCTTCTTTCCCCCTTTTCTATCTCTCTCTTTGACACTAATAAAACAACTTACAGTTTTGACTACCAACATCTGACATTGTTTGTGTCTTAATATTACCCTGGGTGTATTTGATCCTAAAACCCCTCCACTTCTGTGGTTGGGACAGCTGTTCTCTCCATTCTCTCAGGCTGCATTGCCCAAGTGTTCTGGCAAAGACTGTTCTTTCAGTTTGGATCCAACTACTGAACATGATGGTGTTTCTGAGTCTGAGCATTCAGCAAAGAGAAGGAATCTTAGCACGTGCACTAACAGTGATCTTAATGAAGTTTCCACCAATTGTATTCTTTCTAGCCTAATAACAAATTTTCTTGTTTTCCCTA